GTCAGCTGAGTGGAGGATTCTTGGAGTCAGTTTTTCCCACCTGGGCTCCATAGTGTTTGAGCATTTCTGTTCCTCTGGCCCCACAATCCACAGAATGCATTGCTTGTCTCAGATATTCATTCTGATTTCACAGCCTCAGAACTTAGATTCTTCTATTTTGCCTGGCCCTACAGCAGTGAGTCATTTCTGCTGCATCTAATGTGCCCTGTTTAACTGCCCTGAAAGCATTTCCTTTGTGTTAAATACTTTGTAGGAGTTCTCAGAACACATAGAAATCTGCAACAGCTCTTGAAGTCTCACTAAGAAAAAAGTGGTCCATCCTATAACTGCCCTGAAAGCATTTCCTTTGTGTTAAATACTTTGTAGGAGTTCTCAGAACACATAGAAATCTGCAACAGCTCTTGAAGTCTCACTAAGAAAAAAGTGGTCCATCCTATTCTTAACCCATTTTAAAATCTGCTCAGGGAAGTGGGATCCTATTTAGCTTAAGAAGGGTAAAAAAAGTATCTTGTAAACCTTTGTAAGCCCCATGAGTCAGAGATATCCACAGTTTTCTGACTAGAACCACATCTGTTGACAAAAGAAGATACATTGGAAAATATCTAGATCTTCTTTGTCTTTCTGCACAGAGCACCTATGGACATTTTACCAAGATGGACATGAGTAACTGTATCCTCTTTCTTACTAGGAAGAAGTGGGGCATTCTGTTTTTATTATTATTCCTATTGCATTGAGAGGTGACTATTTAATACCCCATGGTTTTTCTGAATTCCTATTTATTTATTTTTATTTTTTTCTGAATTATATTCTTACCTTGCCTGTGTAAAATCCACTTTTCAAAATATTCCCAGGAGTCAATGTTTCCCATGACATATTAAAAGGCAAAATCAGTACTTAATGAGATTGAAAGGGAATCGGACACCAAAGATGAAAGAAGGTAATTTGGCTTGGAGATGCTCCATATAAAGAGCAGGCATTACTACATAGCATGGCCCTCATCTCCATACTCCTACCTAAGCAAGCTGATCATCTTTGCCTCTAGCTGTTTCTGGAACCTGAAAAACTATGATGTTTAAGAAATGGAAAGTTTTTATTTCTTACACTGACTGTTGCTGTGGTAGGGATGGGACACAGGTTCTACTGTGTTTCCTTCTCATGCTCTTAGAGGAGCTGTTAGCTTCACTGTGGATCTCTTCCAGGTGCATTGAGTGAGGAGTTTCCTTCTACCTCTCTCCCCACAGCTTATGAGTTCCTCCTGGGTCCTCTTTAGCATGTCTGTTGGCTGAAGATTGGCACCACAATCCTTTGCTCAGGTTCCCATGATTTCAGCCACCTTTCACAATGCTCAATTAGAGGCCAAGCACCTACTCTCCATGCTTTTAGTGGAGTTGAGAAATGACTGACTGAGTTTTACCTCATGTAGTTGTGGATGAGTATGATTTAGTCATGAAGGGACCTTGGACTGCCACTTGGGTGATGGCTATTTCCAAATCTTTCTCTGAGCTTTGTGTTCATGTATACTACCTTGAGGAATGGTTCATTTCCAATCCTGGTTGAGTGATATAGAATCATGTAAGAGAGATGATGGTACAATTTCTTGGTATAGTCAATGTCATCCTCAGGCATGGAAAAGAACTGAATAGCTGCAAAAACCAGAGAATGTTGTGGAGAAAGGGACAGTGAGAGCTTTATACATTCAGGATTGGAGAAGACTGAAGGTCTATTAAATAGATTTTGGCTTGGGTACCTTACAAGTCCCTTGAGGATCTTATTTCTCTCATTGGTTCTGAATTGATGCCCACCCTTGTGCTTTCTAGATGTTTCCTCTTGCAGAAATTTTGAGGATGATGAAGTGACAGACTCAGGAAGCCTGGTTTGACTTTCCTTGCCTACCCATGTTCCTTTAACCCTGCTTCAATTCCTTCCCTGGAAGAAGTAGTTTCATCCCTGAGTACTACTGCAGCACATGCTCATGTCCATTAGGGGGCAGTGATGAGCTGATCTTGAGAGGACAGTGCTCTTGGCAAGAAGTCATTCAGTAATCACTACTTCTTCCTTCCACATATTTGCACAGGTGCTGATGGTTTTGAGGAGGATTACCTAAGAGCTACCCTGTGATCTACTTCCTGCTCCTTGGTTCCATGGGCCACATGAGTAGTGAACTCTTAACTCTGTTTTATTCTTCCTCTTTTATCCCCAAAAGTCATTGTTTAGGAAAATATTTCTACCAACAAAAGAATCCAATGATTTTATGGACTGTACATATTTAGTATATGATCAAGACTCAGAAACTAAACATTTTCAAGTTGAACAACTTAGAGTCAGAATACACAATTTTATATCTTCTTCTCTATTTCTAGGTTCTTCAAACACTACATATTTTTACTGTTAGGTAAGGGATTCCCTTAGAGTTCAAGTGGGTGATTTCAGGAGCTCCATTTTCAGTGTTTCTTTAGATATTCGGACATCAGATGGTAGTGAATCTCTGTATCGATAGTGTGCACTTGTGCTTGTGTGGTCACACATTTGTATGGAAATCTACAGAGCCCAGAAAAGGGCATCTGATCCCCTAGAGCAGGAATTACCAAACTTCTGTGCTTTCTGGAATGCTTGCTGGGAATGAAAACCAATTCCTTATCAGGAATTTCAAGCCCTTTCAGCTTTTGAAATGCACTCTTACCTCTAATGTAACAACAAATTCTTTTTTTTTTCTCATTAAATTTATATTTTAATGGGTCTCAAAATTCTGTGACAGATTTTGGTCAAGTTGTTTCCATTAAAAAGTACTGATTTTGAAAACTAATAACTTAAAACTGCCACACACACAAAAATGTTCCACAAAACATTCCCCCTTCCTCCTGAAGGTTTTCTGATGCATTGTTATCATTAACCAGTCTTTCTTTATTAAACTTAAATGGCCAATTGAGACTAACAGTTCTGAGACCATTCTTCCACCACTGATTAAGACTGGGGTGGCAGGTGTTAGGGGTAATATTCATTTAGCCTTCTGAGCTTTCTGGGCCGACTTTGTGACTTTGCCAGCTCCAGCAGCCTTCTTGTCCACAGCTTTGATGACACCCACATCAACTGTCTGCCTCATGTCACGAACAGCAAAACGACCCAGTGGAGGATAGTCAGAGAAGCTCTCAACACACATGGGCTTGCCAGGAACCATATCAACGATGGCTGCATCACCAGATTTCAAGAATTTAGGGCCATCTTCCAGCTTCTTACCAGAACGGCGATCAATCTTCTCCTTAAGCTCAGCAAACTTGCATGCTATGTGAGCTGTGTGACAATCCAGTACAGGAGCATAGCCAGCACTAATTTGGCCTGGATGGCTCAGGATAATCACCTGAGCAATGAAGCCAGCTGCTTCCATTGGTGGGTCATTTTTGCTGTCACCAGCAACGTTGCCACGTCTGACATCTTTGACAGACACGTTCTTTACATTGGAGCCCACATTGTCTCCAGGAAGAGCTTCACTCAAAGCTTCATGGTGCATTTCAACAGACTTTACTTCTGTTGTAACATTAACTGGAGCAAAGGTAACCACCATTCCAGGTTTTAAAACACCAGTCTCTACTCGGCCCACAGGAACAGTCCCAATACCACCAATTTTATAGACATCCTGGAGGGGCAGTCGCAGTGGCTTGTCAGTGGGACGAGTTGGTGGCAGGATACAATCCAAAGCTTCCAGCAGTGTGGTACCACTGGCACTGCCATCTTTACGGGTGACTTTCCATCCCTTGAACCAAGGCATATTAGCACTAGGCTCCAGCATGTTGTCACCATTCCAACCAGAAATTGGCACAAATGCTACTGTGTCAGGGTTGTAGCCAATTTCTTAATGTAGATGCTGACTTCCTTCACAATTTCCTCATATCTCTTCTGGCTGTAAGGTGGCTCGGTGGAATCCATTTTGTTGACACCAACAATTAGCTGTTTAACACCCAGGGTGTAAGCCAGAAGGGCATGCTCAAGGGTCTGCCGATTCTTGGAGATACCAGCCTCAAATTCATTTTCAAGTTCAACAACTTAGTGTCAGAATACACAATTTTATATCTTTTTCTCTATTTCTAGGTTCTTCAAACACTACATATTTTTACTGTTAGGTAAGGGATTCCCTTAGAGTTCAAGTGGGTGATTTCAGGAGCTACATTTTCAGTGTTTCTTTAGATATGCAGACAGCAGATGGTAGTGAATCTCTGTATCGATAGTGTGCACTTGTGCTTGTGTGGTTACACGAGTGTATGGGAATCTACAGTGCCCAGAAAGGGGCATCTGATCCCCTAGAGCAGGAATTACCAAACTTCTGGGCTTTCTGGAATGCGTGCTGGGAATGAAAACCAATTACTTATCAGGAACATCAAACACTTTTAGCTATTGAAATGCTCTCTTACCTCTAATGTAAGAACAAATTCTTATGTAGAAATGACCACAATTACAAACACTGGTCTTCTAGAGTAAAAAACAAAGATAGAAAATAACAGGGTGTGCCTCTTAAACAAGGCATTGATTCTCCCCGAAATAGTAAAATGGGATGTCCACAGCATCAACTACCATATACAAAATCATATTATTGAAAACAATTCATGTTTCACTAATGGTGTGGTTAGGGCTATGTGAGTTCCCAGTGTTGGCAGGAGTGTTACCTAATAATCACTCAGCAGATGGAAGGACATGTTTGCCTTGGAGAGTGATATGACTAAGTGCCTCCTATTTCTCCCTAGTTTCTGGTGTTTTCCCTTCAATTTCCTGTTTTTATGGCCTGCCACTTGGTGGAGCCTATGACTTCCCCACATGCAGTCTAATTCTAAGTCAACCCAGTCTGAAAGAAAGGAGGGGCCTGTATCTCCACAGGAAGAGGGGTATTTGCATGTAGCCAGCCTGAACTTAGAATCCCAGGGACAGATAAGAAGGGTCCTGATCTACATTCATTCGATTGGACGCAGGAAGCAGATTCTGAGCCCCTTCACCATGACTTGGGCTCCATTCTTCCTCATCTTCCTTCATCACTTAACAGGTAAGTGGATTTAAGGGCAGTTACTCTAAAAAAGTAAGTGTTGCTTGAGATGTTTGGACAATATTTTCCCTGGTGAATAAGATTTATTGTTCTTACTGATTTTATTATCTTCTTTTAAAGGATCATGTGCCCAATATGAGCTCACTCAGCCAAAGTCTGTGTCAGAGTCTCTAGGGAGAACAGTCACCATCTCCTGCAAGCGCAGCAGTGGCAACATTGGAAGTAGCTATGTGCACTGGTACCAGCAGCACTTTGGAAGTTCACCGAAAACTGTGATCTATGATGACAACAAAAGACCATCTGGGATTCCTGATAGGTTCTCTGGTTCCATTGACAGCTCCTCCAACTCAGCCTTACTGACCATCACTGATCTGACATGTTTCCCTTCATTATGACATCAATAATTCTCTGTATTGCCAAGTGTACCTGTAATATGGGAAGGGCCACACATGGGTGAAACCACTGCTTAACAAAGTTGTTTTAAACTATTAAGGAGTCCTGTCTTTGACACTCCCTAAACTAAGACATAGGATGAGGATTTTATCTCCCAGAATTTCTGTCCCCAATTCCTAAAAAGAAAACAATAGTAATGAATTCAAGTGACTATTCTGATGAGAAGATCATATTGTAATAAGGACAAAGCTGGTGTTATCCAACCCTATAGAAAAACAACCAAGGTCTGTAATGTAGTGGTAAGTGAAGACCTAGTGTACATGTAAATGCCAATGTAGAGTTCTTCCAGCACATGACATATCATTCATCTGTAAAGCTCTGAAAATCATTACACTCGAATAATGAAAGGTGACAAAAGGTACTCAGTGACAGCCAATGAAAACCAGAAATACTGAATTGATAATAATTATATCTCTGTGTTGTGGAGGCTCAACATTTTAATCCCAGCTCTTGAGAGGCAGGAGATGAATTCAGAGAGAGGCAGATCTCAGTGGGTGAGGCCAACATGTCTCAAACAAATATTTTCTTTGGTGGTGGGAGGCCAACCTGTCTCAAAAAAAAAAAAACAAAACAAATATAGGTGTTCCCCCTTTCTCTTTCTTTCTCTCTCTGTGTGTGTTTCTATGTGGTTGTCTTAGTTCAGATCACAATGATTAGTAGTCATTAAATTCAATGTGCATTAGATTTGAGCATACACTGGATGGCAATGACAAGGGAACCAGATATGTCAAAAATTGAAGAACCTTTTTCTTACTCTGATTTATTTTACTAACAGAATGAAAACAATGTCTGCCTGGAATAGATTGATTACTCACTCACAATACTTCTTCTTTGCAATTGTTCAGGTTCATTTTATTTTCTACTTTTTGGATTATTAACACATTATACTGTTTATTTCCTCCTTTCTGGTATCTTTCTGTTTTTTTTTTTCTGATATGGATAATGAGCTACTCATGGAAAGAGTGAAATTGAGGCAATAATGTAAAGTGTGGATTTAGGTAACACATGTTATGTCTTCTGCTGCAATGGTGACTGTGAAGAATAAGGAAACAGATCAGTTTATGTTCAGCATGGATGTGGGTCAGGCAGACTTGGAGAGAACTACTTGTGCTAATAGAACAAATGGACACAGCTGAGATGGTTCCTTTATCTGGTCAGGGATTTGAATGAATGTCCCACGGCTTAATGAATGGGCAGCAGAACCCTATTTTGGTAAAAAAAATATTGTGAGTACAATTCTGGAAAGCAAATTTTGTAAACATATTGAAAATGTATCTTACAACAGGTAGATTGCTAACAAGGTGGTTGTGGTACAAGGGACTGGAAGGGATATGAAACTCCTGCATTATGGATGTTCTCGGAAAATAAACCAGGAAGTTTGGAATGGATCTGTCTCCTGAGATTGGCAACTGTGGAAGGTATGCAGTTTAAGTAAAAGTGATAGTAGAGCTGTAGAGAAGAAAGGAGAAGATAGGAGCCAGGAAAGGAAGAGAACAGTGTGGAGGAAAGTCTTAAAACCTAAAATTGAGTGGGTGGAGTACTTATCTAGAACTCTGGAATGATCCCCAGTCTCCGAGTCCAGGAATCAAGGTTAAAGACAGCGAAATTAATAAAATATGCATTGTGCCTTTAGGCAGTGGTAGTATTAATCTTTGAAAAAAGAATACTACAGAGACATTGCATTGCTGATTCTGATAAACACAAATGTGTGGTGGAGGTTCGTTAAGAGATGGTCTGAAGAGCTCCTTTGTTTGAAGGGGGAAATCATTTTGAATCATTATTATGAAGCACTCTGTGACCTGGGAAACGTGTCAGATGTGGGGCTCCTTCCTCAGCCAGGTTCTCCACAGTGGAGAAGAGAGTTTGCTGTCCATATTGAGAGCAATGGAGAGGCACAGCTATGGTGTCCTGCCACAAACCCAGAAAGTGGAAGTGGCTTAGGGCAGATGCAGACACTCCCTCTAGTTCTGAGATACAGGAAGACCAGAAGGAGTAATAAGAACTACCCCTGGTCCACATACCATTCCCTCTCATACAATACAAATATCTATAGGAGAAGCTAGATCACAGGAAAGCACCTTCTTCACCCAGCAGCATCATCGTCAATAACAGAAAGAAAGACTGGGTAACACCTATCCGGGCTCTATGTACCTGCTCATACAAATATATCATTAGTGGATGAACAGCAGCAGCTTGCTTTCTTTATTAGATAAGATACAAACCCAGTGGACTTCTACACAGTTAGAATACACATTTTGAACAAAATCTGTGGAGCTTCACAATATGTTTTACACCTTTAATCTCTAATATATATTATGCACTTATATACCATCCCAACCAAAAAATCAATGACAGACTTAGAACAAGGAAAACATTTATCTTTATGACCTGTTGCATAACTCATGTGCACTTCTTGCATTCCTTCCTCCCACATCCCCTTTTATTTAACCTTTCTCACTCTTTTCTTCATGTTATATCCTACCCATGTATATGTTTGCTTAAATGCATATATCATATTAGCTATATTCTGCATATCAGAAAGATACTAGGGTGTGTTACTTTCCCTAATATTGTATATTCTATGTTCACTCATTTCCTGAAAGATTTTAAATTTCTTTTCAATTTAGAGATGAGAGTATGAGCATGCATGTGTGAATATTTGTGTAACTGTGTATTCCAAATTTTTTCTATCCATGAATCTATTGATAAACCACTATGTTTATTCAAAAAAATTGATGTAGTGAATAAATCAACAGTAAACATTAGATGCAAATATCTCTATGGTAGTGTATGGAGTTCTCTGCGTATTTGCCCAAGAGAGAATCATCTGGATCATATTGTCATTCTTTTTTATTTTTCTCCTTGAGAAATCTACAAAGTGACTACCATAAAGTCTGAATTAGTTTTTTTTCCTGACAGTGAATTAGGGTCCTATTTTCTCCACATCCTCTCAATTTCTCTCCATATCCTCTCCAATATTCCTTGCCAGATTTGTTGATGGCAGCCATTCTGACAGAGTGATGTATTACCAAAAGTAGTCTTAGTAGTCTTATACTAAATTTCCACAATGACTAATGATAACAAGATTTTAAGAAATAGGTATTCGTCATTTGATTTTATTTTTCTCAAACTGTCAGTGCAGCTCTTTGCTTGTTTGTAGATTGACACTTGGATTTTTTTGATATTTAATGCCAGCAATCATTGTAAATACTTTCTGAGTAATAGTGGGTGAAGATTTACCTCCCATTCTGTGGATTTTATGCTCCTCTGATTGGTTTCCTTTTTGCACAGATACTTTATGTTTTCCTGTATCTATATGGGTTGGCTCCTGTGCTGTTGGTATTGTATAAAATGGTTCTTGCTTATGCCAACATTTTCTATAGCATCCCCTATATTTTTTATCAAAAATTTCAGTGTTCTAGCACTTAAATTTAAGTCTTTGATCCATCTTGAATTGATGTTTGTACAAGGTAAAAAAAATCAAATTTCATCTTCAAGTACAAATCTACTTCTACTCTCATCATGTTCAATAGGGTATTTACATTCCAACCACGTTTTTGCATGGTTTGTGAAAATAAAGCAGACATGTCCTAGACACTTTATTTCTTGTTCCTCTATTTTATCCCATTGCTCCACTTGTATATTTATAATGCCATTACCAGGCTGTCTTTATAGCAATATTTGAGGTAGTTCTCATGGTGTTTTTGCTAGACCTGTTAAATGTGACACGAGTGTTTTAGTAATTATTGCATTAATTCTGTAAATGAAATCATATGGTATAACATGTTCACAACATTATGCCTGAGAACATGGAATTTATTTCCACACTCTACTATCTTCTGTGATTTTCTTTCCAGTATTATGAAACTTTCATTGTACAAGCCTTTCACTTATTTGGTTACATATATTCCTAAATATGTGATTTTGTTGGAAGTTTATTGTGGTGGAATATTTTTCAAATATTTCTCTAAGAGTTTAAAGTTTCTATATATAAAAGCTTCTTTTGGAAATACTGATTTTGTGTCCTACAATTTTAATGTATTTATTAAGTCCAAGAATTTTCCAGTAGACTCAGTAGGGTCTTTTAATAAAGAACAATGTCAATACAGTTTAATAGTATCCCCCTGTATATATGAACCACACTTTCAATATCCATTCATGTACGAAATCACATTAACTTCAATTCTATTCATGTATATTGTGAAT